GTAAAAATCTGAAACAAACATCTAACTTTGAGGGCACATAGATGTGGATATATTCAATCAACTTCTTGTTCTGTGTTGTTGTTGGTACAATATGATGTTGCTAGGAACAGGCCATAAGTTGCTTCCTTTTTGTTCTTAAATTCTGATTATTTATGGATGTGTTGATGGTTTAAAGTTACCTTCTAAGTTATTTATCTAAAATTTGTTCAGATTGTGAGACCCCAATGATGTCAAGAGTAAATGGAAAAATTATTCTTTGTGGCTTTTAGGCCTTTACTTGTTCGCCAGGGTGTGGGAGAGTCCTAATTACTTGTGTAGAGGAACATTTGGTGCTTTTCTTCCTAGTTTGAGCTCTTGATTGACACTTTTTACAGTGACAGTAGAATTTCTTAATGCAATCTAGTTTCTTAAATAAAATTCTTCTCATGTGTAAAGCATGATTTATGATTTGGAACCCTGTTGATAAGCTTGACTAGAAACATTTTAATTTGAGAGCATTCTCAAGGTTATAAGCTTAGAAGGATAGAGAGCTTCTTCAAGCTACGAACCATAGAAAACCCTAAACTAATGGAAAATTAATTAACATTTCTGTTGGATTAGTCACCCCTCCTTCCCCAACCTTGAGTCAATTAAAGTGTTTATCATCTGGTAGGATTTCTTGTGTCACTGAATTGTGCATATTGATGGTTATTTGTTTTCAGCTGTTAATGGTGATTTTGCAGCCTGAATCATCTGTAATTAATTTTTTTGAGGTAAATGGTAAGCTGTGATAAATCTATTCCTAGTGCCTCTTAGGTACTAGCATATCAAAATGTGGTTTTGCCTGAGCTGGACAAAACAGTTTGCCGTTAGAAAAGAAATGACTAGGATTACATAGATACTAGTTATGAATGTCCATTATGAACTTGGAAAATTTTTAAGGGTTGGGGGAGTTTCACTGGCCGGAGTAGCACTCATGACCTCTATACACACCAAGCACTCAGGCCTGGAGAATGGACCATTGGGCCAAGCTGGCCAATGCTGATACTAGTTATGAATGAGCACTTGCATCTCAGTTTGTTAATGTTTTCTTGGGGCATTATTATTTTCATCTTCTTTGTTGTTGTGTTGTTGTTGTTGGTGCTGTTGGTGTTATTGTGGAGTGTCTAAATACTTGAAACTGTGCTGCATAATTTTATATGTCTAATTTAGTTTCACTTGATCTGTTTTCTCTTTTACAGCATCACCATCTTCTACTTTGCCAAGGAAGAGTCCAAATGTAGGTTTGTTCCACTATTTCCTGAAGTGTATGCAGCTGTTAGAGTTCCATTTCAGAAGGGACTTGGCCAGAGATTTCAACAACCCTCAGGAACAGGCATTAACTTAGGCTTCTTTGACTTGGATGAACTCTCAAAGCCATCAGGTGCAGAAGATGTTTTTCCCATTGTAATATCTGCTGAAACATTCCTTCCTTCTCATTCAAGCAATGAACATCTTGATAATCCTGTGTCAAGTACCTCAACCCACATGCAAATTACCCAGTCTGTTATCGAGAAGAATAATAGTAACTCTTTCCAAGTGAAAGTGGTAAGGCAGATATTGTGGATTGATGGAGTTCGCTATGAGCTTCGTGATTTATATGGGATAGCAAGCTCAGCGCCAGAAGAAGGCTTTGAAGACAGTGATCCAGGGAAAGAATGTGTCATCTGCATGACTGAACCAAAGGATACTGCTGTATTACCGTGTCGTCACATGGTAAGGCCATGCCCTTAATTATGTGAATATATTGTATGATAATAGTCGATATTAACATCTTTTAGTATCAGCCAAAAAAAAGGGAAAAAATGTCTTTTAGATAGTGCTTTTATGGAATGGTGTGGCATGATTCTAAGCATGATACCCAGCCTGCCAAATTGAGGGGTTTAGGGCACAGGGATTTCTAGGACAAGTCATCATGTGGTGAGTTAGTCTTCTGTTAGTGGTTTCAATGCAGAATTACGTCTATAGTGTCTGGCCACTTGGTATCACCTGCCCTCTTGATTTATATTTGAACAAAGGCATGCTTCTTAAGAGAAGGGTGAGACTTGGTGGTTTGGATTTATTATTATTATTATTGTCTGTCTTCTCTTATAAACCCCAGGGCTATGCTGTGCAAAAGAAAACATTTTGGTCCAAGGTCTGGTGTCTCTTGTAGTTGCTGGGTAATGGTCTTTTGGGTCTTATTAGAGTTTAATTAGGTTAATTATATTCTTGATAGAATCCCTATTTTATGTGGGCTGGGTTTATTCCTAGATGGTTATGATTGATGAAAAAATTATGGAAAGAAATTTCTCATGAGGGAAAATTTTACTGAATAATCTCTATAAATAAGTTGTTCTCTTATATTCTTTTCACTTTAAAAAAACTGATGGTACATTGTTCTCTAAGTGATATATGTGTCTTTTCAGTGCATGTGCAGGGAGTGTGCTAAAGAATTAAGGAAACAATCAAATAAGTGCCCCATATGCCGTCAACATATTGAAGAACTTATAGAGATCAAGTTTAACAGTGATCAGTGAAAGGTCCTACCATCTTTTTGAGTTGTAATTAATGTCAACTTCATCATTTGCATATTTTGGATTCTATTAATCGCTAGCCAATGATGCCATCCAACAATATGCATTTTAAGGATGAAAGTGGCTGCATGTGGACAGCATACATATACACGTATAGTTAAACCAACTGGGGAATCATGGCTGTCTTGCATTTCCATGTTATTGGCCAAGCATATATGTTGGGTTCATGCCAAGAAGAGATACAGGTTTTCATGGTTGATTGTGTAAAGTATGCATCTGTTGGAGCAACTCTTTTTCCCTTTTCTCTTTTTTTTTTTTCCTTTATTTTTTAATTCAGAAACAATCTGTATATGAGTGAGAGACGGAGAAATAAACCTTGTTTTTAATCATCATTGCTAGATGTTTTAAGTTTCAGAAGAATATGTGACAATCATGTGAAATGTTCAAATTCTTTACTTTGTTTCTCCGTTAGCTTGATTCTCTTCGGTGTGTTCTTAACTAGTGTTCTCCTTTGTCGAAGCTTTTAATCGACTTGCACTGATCTCGAAGATTCGAAGAGCAACAAAAGTAGGGCTGCTGCATTGGATGAACATTCTAGGCTTGGGGAGCAGCCCAAAAGAAAAAGCTAGGAGAATATCAGCAGCCCAAAAGAAAAAGCTATAGGGGAATATCTACCATGGAAGTTAGCAGCCAGCTTAGAGACAATCTTTGAATCCCTGCAGCAGCAAAGCTACGTGGTTCGCAGTCGGATACTCAGTTTGAACACAACCATTTTTTCAACATCATCATTCAAATTCTAAGTTTTGTATCCATCCTATCATAGCATAAATCTTCAACTTTGATTCATGAACACCACCCTAATCATGTTTGATGTCTGGATTTAGCATTTTACCTATGTCTGCTGCGTTTCTATCTTGGAAACCAGAAAACCCAGCATTGAAGTTAGAAGTCGTGCTGTTAATGAAGGTTGGAACTGCAGATGAAAATGGTTGCTGAAACAAGGGGAATATATGTCACAGAAAAATATGTTAGATTTCCCCCACAGAAATTGTCCAGGTAAAGTCCATCGGAATGCCAATTGATTATAACCCTCTTCGAAAATGCAATTGAAATCATCAATGATCAATGTATTGTCATTCAAGTTTTATGGTGTTTTTCGCAGCAGTAATTTTTTTTGGGATTATTCACTAGATAAATAATTTTTGGACCAACCAAACAGATATTGTCCTGGTAAAGTAAAATTTCACAAGCAGCAGAAGGAATGAAGAGGAGCTTTCTTTCCCCAGCAATCAGAATTCCTAAACATCCCCCTGCCATACCTCAATTATTTTGCAATAAAGATCTAGGACTTGAATATCTATGGGTATAGTTATAACCACTGACAATAATGTTGTAATTATTAAAATTAAAAAATATTTATTTTGTTTAATTTAATTAATAAAATATCTACTAACTGTATTTGTTAATTAATAATTAATAATTATTAATTAATAAATTAAAATTAATCAATAAATTGATATTTTCAAACATTGTTTAGGAAAAAAACTAAAATTTTAGTGTGTTTAATAATATTAATAATGACGATAATCACATCGTCTAAAATAAAGAAAGATTTGAAAGGATTTATCATTTTTTTAATATATTTATAGTCAAAGTGTTTCCTAATTAACTTTAGTATTTCTTGAGTCTAATAACTTACATAATAAATATTAGATCATAATAAATGCTTGCCTTCCCTCTGCTTCCGTTTTGAAAGTTTTTCTTTTCTTTTTGGGGTTGAAGTTTGACTTTACTTTCTTTTTTATCCAGTCACTAATCTGCAGAACCATGTGGGTGCTTATGTGATGGCATGAACACAAATGGCAAATTGGTAGGTTTGTTCTAGGTCTGGCTCGTACTTAGATTTGGTCCTGTAACTTATGTAACTAGTCCAAATTGGTTGAGGCATAATACTTGATCAACTTGTAACCATCAAACAATATTTGTTTACCTTTTAGAGTGAATTTCAGAGACAGTTGAACGTGTTAGACAAGAACCCATTGGGAGAACTCTTTAAGGTTCTTCTTCTCGAAGGCATGGTTTGATCTCAGATATATGTGCTCAAGTTAGCCCTCATTTCTTGTTGAAGGCACAATCCAAACAAAATTAGCCCTTTTTTTTAATTAGCTTTTTTTTTTTGGCATCTAAACAATATATACATACATACATATATATATTCATTATTTATAGTCCAATGTCTCTTTATATATTTTGAGATAAATCTCTTCTTAAATGACCTTAAGGATGCACCTTCCAAATCAATTAAAATTCTCAAATCCCATATAATATGATGGAATCATTTGAGTATATTGAGAATAGGCTTATAGCTAAATATGATATTGGAAAATAGAGGGAGTTGTCTTGGTAAGGGAGAAAACCCATTTTGTATGGGTCATTTTTCCCATAGAAATGAATGTTTTACAAGTAAAATGATGACATTTAAAAAAATAAAAAGAAGGAAATCAGAGGGACAAAAGCACGAGGAGTTTCATCACAGTTTTAGACTTTTGAGAAGAGAAAAACACTAATTTGCGTACAAAAGAAGGCTTCAAACTTAGAGAAAATAGCCTACAAACGTGATTAATCATGGGGTCTATGTTTTTGGGTGCCTTTCTCCACCTAATTGCTGTTAAGCAAAATATAAGTAGAGTTATCAAGATAAAAAAAGTATAACGTAATATGAATTGTATCAAATTATATTACACTAACTATTGATTGAAAGTAAGTTTTTTAACATAAAAAATCCCTCTTATCCAATAATTCATATTTTATAATCCGATATAATTCATGATGTAAAACAAAGTTCCCGATTAAGATTATGTTTATAATGGTTTGTAGTTCTATCATGACCATAATTATTTTTATATTGTGTTATGACACAGTTTTTTTAAAAAAAAACTTGCTGTAATTGAGCTTAATTTATTGACGGTTACTAAATCACATATTCCCTTCCACCGGAATATTGTACTCATATTAAACACATGACATGATGCGAATTTGAAAATTTTACGTCAAGAATTTGGGCAGAGCGTTACCCTTGAGAGAGGTTGATCATTCACATGGCACGTACGTGGAAATGCCATAGATTGATATGCTCTGGTAAAGTTATGGAGATTGATTCAGAGTCTTTCTTGAGAAAATATCCAACTTTTTCCCTTATGGCATGAATAATGCTCCCTCAACCTTTAGCCATGGCAGGCAACTCTCCCTTTTTTCAAAGGAAATTACCATTTTCTGATAACAACTATGAACTACAAGTTGAAGTGCGGATATTGGAGTTTTTAGGGCTTGATTTTGACGCCATAAAAGAGAAGAAACTCGTGGTGATTGAGAAAATAAGAGAAACAATCACACTTTCGAACTTATAAAGAGATAAACTTACTTTGTTGATACTAATTATAACACCTCTAACCAAATCTTATATTAACATTAATAAAGCAAATCAACACACATAAATCTTTATAAATTTTCATTTTAAAATTGTGATTAGAATTATTAAGAGTTTTGGAGTTTACTTGTACTCAAAGAATCTGGCTAAATTAGAATGATGTTCTTTCTAACATTGGATGTCCAACGCATGCATTTACTGCCAATATAAAGTGTCAACTACCCTTTCACCAACTATTTGATCCACATATAAATTGATTCGTTGGAGTTGCAATTTACATTCTTTCAAACTAATTGGTTATGGTATAGGTTTGTAAACATTTATCCATTTCTAGCCAATTCCTATCTCCACATTGATTGGTGGCAAATTAGATGTCAGCCATGCATGAGAATCTGGGAAGTGTGTAAATCGGGTCCAAGAGGCAAATGCTAAAATTGTGTTTGGACAACATGAGCCCAATGGGAGTGAGGGGAAGATGGTCATTTTGAGGGTGGATAGGTAAATGTGTACCAGACACAGAAGGAGGTAAAGTAATAATGAGTCTGTCAATCTCTATTTCTCCTTGCTTTCAACGTAGAGTTTAATATAGAATAAAAATATAATAAATATTTTTTTTTATAAATAATTTATATAAAAACATAATAATTAATTTTTATTTTAATAATATTATTACAAATATAGTTTTAATAGATTAAATTTATTTTTTAAAATATTTCAATAAAAATTAATTATAAAAAATATAGTAAACACATTTATAAAAAAAACCAAATAACAATTTTGCAATTTCAAACCAATGGCCCCCCATTAAATGACATTATTCATTACACCAGCCAAACTGGATGATGAGATCTGACAGCCTTCACGTACATCCCCTGATATTAATAATTAAAAACAAATCTGACAAGTGTGAAATTTACCCACTGGGTAATACCCATTTACCAACCTCACAATTTTACCTAAGAGATACTCAATTTTTTTTTCGGATGGAATTCTATAATAGAAATATAATTTAAGGATTGAAATTATTAAAATGTTACTAAAAATATTTAAGTAAATTTATTAGTCATAAAACATTTTTTATTGTCTAATCTAACTTAAAATCACCTTCTTCTTCTTTTTTTTTTTTTTTACCTAAACCCCATAAAGATGAATATGATGCTCAAATGCCTCAATTGGTGAATGTTAAATCTTGAGTATATGTAAATAATTAAATAATTTAATGATTATTTTTTTTT